GCTCTCCTTTCTTCTGCAGAATAAAGCAACTCTTCCTTATCCCTGTCTGGCTGTTATTGGCTCTCAGCTAGGTGGACCCGATATTTCGGTAACAATAGGAAGGATTCTGAGTTACCCATGGGAAAGAATTCTCTGTAGTCTGGCTGTTGGGTCTTGATTTAAAATTTCCATTGATGGAGACCATAACCCTTTGTAAACTGTTCCAATGGTTAATTACCCTCACTGTTAAAAATCTTTTATATAAACATGTAAGAGGAAGCACATTCATTCCCCACTGTGCCTGGGGGTGATTAGATAATGGAATTGGTGCAGTCATCATCTAGTATCTCTTAACAACAATTCACATCCCAGGCCTGTAGTACACACTGGCAGACAACTTTGAGCAGACACTTGTTACCAGACTACGAGTGGACAATCAGACTCCATAGTTTCCAAATGTTCAGAGTCTGGGGTCGTCCATCAGACCTGTTTGAGACAAACACGTGTCAAACTTTCTGTTCCCGAGCCAAGCGCCACACAGGATCCCTCTCAGATTTATTCCTTATTCAGTGGTCCCACCACATTTATGTATGCACCCACTGATTTGATGAGCTGCCAGGATTTGATGAGGTTATTTTAATGTTCTCCCCAAAGGTCTTATCTGTAATCCCAGACTTGATATCCCAGGAGGATGGGATCACATTCCATTTGAATCCATCCTCCCTCCATCTCACAGCATGACTTCTGGATGGGTGTCTAGGGAGATCATGAACTTCACAGGTCCAGAGCATTTTGATAATAGTAGGAAAGATTCCACCAGCCAAACTTATGCTGCTAAATAAGAGATTTACAGTTCGGTGGGAAAAGCACCAATTCTGTGCCATGAAGATTATTTACTGTCTGAAGACCTCTGGACTTTCCATTGGTTCAGTTAAGGTATGCCTGGCAGCCATCAGTGCATAGCACCCTCCTTAGGAGACAATACAATTCACCCCACTAGCTCTAGGTTCTTTAAGGCCTAATTCGGATGTTTCCACTAATAAGAGAACTTGGTCATCTCCCTCCTGACCTTAAAATAGTGTTGTCAAGACTGATGGGCCCACTTTTGAACCCTAGCAACATGTTCTTTGTAACACTTAACCATTAAAACCTTCTTTCTAGAAGCTATTACTTCATCTAGGAGAATTGGGGAGATACACTCATGGCAGGACCTCCATATCCAGCCTTTCATACTGATAAGGTGTGTCTCAGCTAAAATTCCTACCAAAATATCTGATTCCATTTAAATCAGACTATTCATCTAACAGTATTTTTTCCCAAACCACATTCGAATAATGGAGAATCAAGATTACACACATTTGATGGTCAGAGGGCCCTGGTTTTTTACTTGCAAAGAATTAAACCCTTTAGAGCGTCTCCAAGGGTTTTTTTTCTTTTTCTGAGAGGATGAAGGCCAACCAGTTTCTGCCCAAAGACTGTCAAAATTGATTTTGGGGTGTGTTATACTCTGTTATGAGTCAGCTAGATTACATCCTCCAGATAATATTGGAACCCATTCCACGAGGGCACAAGCAGCCTCTGCTGCTTCCTTGAGAAGCATTCCCATTCTAGACATCTGCAAAGCAGAATCTTGTTGGAGTTTGTCAAGATGTATTGCCCATATTTATATTCTATGACTTGTCCTCTTTCCCTCTTACTTTGGAGTCCTACTACGTACCTGGATTCTGTGGTGAAGAAGGAACTGAGTGGCAGTTGCTACCACACTGCCCTCTATAGTTTTGATACAGGAGCAGGAGGGCAACCAGGGCACATGTATGGCCCAAACAAACAATGCTGGACAAAACACCCCAGTCTCAAGCACATGGGGTGCATGCACACCAAGAGTGGAATATACAGATAGACAACAACTCCAGTTACTGTACAGGTAAGTAACTTTTCTATAAAATGTTAATGATGGTTTTAAGGCTGGACTAGCTGGGGATTTGTGGTGGTGGTTGAAGTATGCTGGCAGAACTGTGTAGAGTACACAGCACAAGTCTGTACAATATTTGGATGTGGACAGTGCACTCATGAGAATCTTTTTCACTGGGAAAACGTAAATAGTTGCATGCAGGTCTAACAGTCTATTTTTGTATATGTTTTCTAAGATATTTCAATTCCTTTGTGGTAGGATTTTGGTCCCCTTCAGTGATTACCAAGAAGGTGTAGGGGAAGAGGCTCTTCACAAGTCTGAAATGCAGAGCACGGTCTGACACCTGAGATCACACAGGAAAGAAGCACAAAGTAAACCATTGCTTAGGCAGGATCCTGTCACTGTTGACGCTTGTGTGGTAGATAATTTCCCCTACGGTAGTGGAGCAGACAGAAAAAATAGCATTAAAGAAAAGCAACAGAGGGTCCTGTGGCACCTTTAAGACTAACAGAAGTATTGGGAGCATAAGCTTTCGTGGGTAAGAACCTCACTTCTTCAGATGCAAGCATTAAAGAAAAGTAACTTGAAGCCAGAGTTTGAGGTAATATTTGCCTACCAGGGAAGCAGAGCAAATTGCATGATATTGTTGCATTCCATTAAAATATTTCAGTGTAAGGGTAGGTAACTAAGTCATAAGGGTCCCAGTCTCCTTGTCCCTACAGAACACTAATAATCTCTAGCTGTATTACATTTTGTTAATAAACTGTATTAAAAGAATATTATGGTTGGAAAGTCAAGCACTCCAATTAAGAAATACTAGAATTAAGGTTGCCTGTGCAACCTTAATTTTGTCCTTTTGTGCATACATTGTGTTATTGTCTTTAATTACCTGATCACCTACTATTTTCCCATAGACCCCTGGTTTATTCAGTACACATGATGATCAGGGGATGAATCAGGGTGTGTTCCGGAGGCTTTGGAACCTCTGCCTCATTTGTTGAGGAAGTAGGAATCTGTGCTGTGAATAAAAAGGGACTGCTGGATGCATAGGCGCCGACTTCTCCTCTAGACAGGGGGGTGCTTGACAACCCCCCTTCTGCCCCAGGCTCCGCCCCTACTCCACCCCTTCCCCCAAGCTCCCATCCCTGCCCCACCCCTTCCACCCCGTCCCACCCCCATTCCACCCCTTCCCCCAAGTCCTCACCCTGCCTTTTCCCCGCCTCCTCCCCCAAGTGTGCCCCATCCCCACTCCTCCCCCTCCCTCCTGGATCTTCCTGAATGCCGTGAATCAGCTGTTTGTGGCGCTGGGGAAGCGCTGGGAGGGTGGGGGAGGAGTTGGTAAGTGGGGCAACCGGTGGGCGAGAGGTGTGGGGGAGAGGAGGGAGGCATGGGAGGGAATTTTTCACCATGGGTGTTCCAGCCCTGGAGCGCCCATGGAGTCGGCACCTGTGGCCAGAAGAGAAAGGTGGGTCTCATTGTTTAATGCAGTTGAAGAGTTGGATTCTAACCTGGCCTCTCCCAAAGAGTTCCTGTGTGATGCTAAGCAAGTCACTTTAACCAAACTCTTCATAGATGGCCACCAATTGTGTGTTCCTCATTTTCTGCGTGCCCAATGTAAGACACAACGAAGAGTCCTGTGGCACCTTATAGACTAACAGACGTATTGGAGCATAAGCTTTCGTGGGTGAATACCCACTTCGTCAGACGCATGTGGTCAATGTAAGACAGGAGCCAGTCTTGCAGAGGCGATGAGCACTCAGTGCTCATGACTGTTACTGAAGCTGATGGGGGCTGTGGTTTGAACATATAAAGTGCTATAAAAATACTAAGTATTCTGAAAAAAAGGTCATAGACATCTCTAGTTTGGCACCCAAAATTAGTGTTCACTTTTGACAATTTTGACCTTAATCTCCCTTTGTCTCATACCCCATCTGTAAAATGGGAATAATAATACCACTTTGTCTCTCAAGGGTGTTGCAAGGTCAATGCATTCTGATACTGTGGTGAGAGAACCATAACTTCCAGGACAACATTAATTATATTCAGTGCAGTGTTTGGATGGTGTGAAGTAAACCAGGCTTGGGACTACATTTTGATTAAGGAGTATACAATGAAATATTGAACAACTACCCATTCACAGAATGAGTCATGAGTCCTGTGGAAAGATGTTTGTGATCATATCATAATCCATCCGCCCAAGGGGGGCAAGTTAAGGTTTCATGGCAACCTTAACACAGGCATTTCTTACCATTTGAATGCTTGACTTTACAATCGTAACTTTCTTCTAGAATAGGTTTTTAATGTAATTTACTATTTTTTTTTAATTGAAAACAGAAATTCCATCACCTGGACTCATATTGATCCACACCTTGAGTTATCAACAGCATCTGGACTGTTTGGGGCTACCTCCCTCTCCTTCTTTCTGGGTGGTAGCCATGTCCTCTGGTTCCATCTGCTACCCTCCTGGTCCATCCTGGTAGTGACTTACTTGGAACTCAGGTAAGTAGTTAATAAATTCTTTATTATAGACTAGAGGTGACAGACACTGAAGCTGTGCATTGAGCAGACTCATAGTAAGGTAATCTGATGAGCAGATAGCTCCAATGAACTGGTAACAACATACAATATATATATTGGCAATTGACCAATCAATACAGAGACACATGAGGGAACAGCTTAACCAATCAGCAGAGAGCCTTATCTGTTGTTAGGTCAACTAATCAACAGGTGTAAGGTAACCAGGTACCTTTCACATGAATCATAACCATAAGCAATGTAACCCTTCTGCCCATCTAAGTTGGCAGCAACAAGGGCCGGGTTCTGTATCTAGGGGTTCCGTTTCAATAACACAATGCAAAACCGGCTCGAGCCCCCACCCAGTGACCTGGGACAATTACATACCACCCCCCTGGGTACCTCTAAGAGGCAATACTTCCCCTCTCGCAAGCACGGAGTCTGAGTGTAGCAGAAAATGTTTAATGACATGAGGTAAACGACATCAGCATAAAATTGGAAAAACACCACAAACAGGATTCATAACACAAACCATGAGCAAAACCCACCCCAGCAAATTGGGCTGTGTCCTTTCCCTTTGGTTCTTGAATCCAGCAACCCAAAAATCACCCAGAGTCCCCAAAGTCCAACATCCCCAAAGTCTCTGGGGTCCAGCAACCACCCAAAGTCCCAAAAGTCCAACAACCCCCAAAGTCTCTGCCCCTGGTTAGTGCAGTCCCAGAGTAAAGGGGGGGGGGCACGCAGGGTGTTAAGGGGCACCTTACGTGATCCGAGGCTGGCCAGCCGTCAGTTTCTCCGTTGGGGTTCCGCCGCAGCCTTTACCACGAGCCAGTCCACTTTCCTGCCATCCCACGAACTGCTCCGCTCTACAAGCTGCTCCGCTCCACTCCGCTCCGCTCACCGACCTGTGAGCCGTTCCAGCAGTCCCCGCAAACAGCTCCGCTCGCCGTTCCTTGGGCCACTCCAACCGGCCCCGCAAGGCTCCACACCGCTCGCTGCTCCTCCAGTCGTCCCCACAAATTGCTCCGCCAGCTGCTGAGCAATATAGCTTCAGGCTCCCCCACTAGTTAACATAGCCTCAGTGATCTCAGCTCTTAATAACATCAGCTCTTAGCGCTTTCAGCTCATAGTATAGTAGGGGAGCCCCAGTGCTGGTGCACCATTGGCCCAAAGTGAATTCAGCTCAGCAGCCTGTAACTAGACTCCTAAGGGAATCAAAGTTAGCTCTGACATTCCACAGTGGAGAGAGAAGGTGGTGCAATTAGTGTTTCAGACCCTCAGAGGGGGCCCATATCATCAGGCACAAATACCTGTCCTCATCCTCTCTCAATTCACTGGGTTTTGTAACCCATGCCCCTTGTCAAGCAAGTGCTACTTAGGTAATGGTGAAGGACTCACTCAGTCCTTCTGTCATACAACAGTTCCACTGGCCTTGATTCACAGAATCAGGGTAACAAAACTTTATTCTTCCTGCCCCAATAATAGAGAAACTGGGGATCCCACACCAGCCAAAGTAACCACTTTCAGTTGCTGTGTTTCCTGCCAGGCGAGTGGGTGTGCCTATGCAAACAAGATCAGCCCCTGGAGTTCTTTTCCACACTCGCCATAATTCACCACCAGATGTCAGGGTAGAGCTCATCCTGACTCTGCTTACAGCAAGATTCTGAGACCTGCGCACCTCAGGCCAGAAGTCCTTTCTGCGCATGTGCAGACTCTCAAAGATCATCCAACCAATGGACACCTTGACTGACAGCCCCTAGGTTGCACTCACTCTCCTGGCCATATCCTGTTAGCACAGCCTACATGGACTTTTATACCCACAGCACAGATCTCTGCCACTTGAGCTGACCGAGTGCCTGGTAGCAGTCATAGACTGTTATCTTCTTCCAGCCCCGCAAGCAGCATTAGCTTTGTTGGCAGGGGAGCGCTCCTGCTGACAAAGCCGCATTCACACTGCCACGTGCGTTGGCAAAACTTTTGTCTTTCACGGGAGGCTTTTTTAAGTACCTGTGAAAGACAAAAGTTTTGTCGACAACGTTGCAGTGTAGACAAGCCCCGTGTGAATACAAGCTTAACAATTTTACTGTGTGCACAAATTCTATTCAACCAGTTCAGTGTTGCCAACTCTCAGGATTTTTTCATGAGTTTCAGGAGTCCAGTGGAGATGTGATGATTTCAGCCTTCATGTCTAAAGAAAACGTTTCTAGCCCTTATGGCTGTGAAGAAAGCTTCAAAATGTGACCCCAGTGCACCCTAAAGGTTCAAAAAGCAGAAGGCAAATAAAAAGAATACCAAAGCTATGATTTTTACATAATCTCATGATTTTAAAACCAATCTAATGATTTTTGGTGAGCCTGACTCCTGATTTTTGAACATTTGAGGTTGGCAGTACTGCAGTCTATTGAACTGACTCTTGCGTTATCAGACATGGAGTCCTATCCTGAGGAGAGGTGCTGAGTGCCCTGGCCTCCCATTGACTTCAGTGGGAGCTGAGGTTGCACAACAACTCCTGTGTCCAGGTCCTGATCCAGCAGAGCTTTTCCTGAAAAAGGTAGTTTAGCCACCACATGCAAAAGAATTTTTCACTAGCACAAGGGTTGAGTCCCCAACAACATAGAGAAAACTAGGGTGAAGGGCATACATTAAAGATGGCTGCCCCACTGAAAGGCGAGGGGATTGCCAATTGACTATTTCCCTCTTTTATGGTATGAGAAGACTTTCTTGACATGTGAATTTTCAGTGATGTCATGCTTAATTCATCACGGATCAGCTTACTTGTACTCCTGAAAAATAATTGTGCTTTTGAAATCCTGAATACCCTACTGAAGAACAGTTCTCCTGTCCTGAGTGTTTTCAAGCACAACTCAGACTGGTTGCTAGCACATAGGCATTAATTTATTAGCCAGGTGCATGGACGTCTCAAATCACCAGGGGAAAAGGAAGTACAAAAGCTTCAGATAGATGAGAGACACTTCCTGATTTTGGATACATTAGCTCATATAAATGAGGCTGCTCTTAGACTCCGTCCTCTTCTGTACGTGCTCTCCCTCCTCTACGCTTATCATGGCAGGTGAAACAGTTTATGCTGATTTAAACATTTTGGGACCCTCTTCCAACCCATTGCATCCACCTCGTCACCTCAGTAAGTCTTTAATTTCTTAGTTTTGTACTAGTATAATCTCTCTTTTTGATTAGAAAAATGGAATCCTAATGTACTTATTATTTGAATTGTAGCACAGATAGCTTAGAGATAAGGTCTTTAGAACCAAGGAGCAGCTCTGTATCCTATCTTCATAGCGTTTGACTTCTGAGAATGTGAAATCTCCTACTATTGTCAGAACTGGATACAGAATTTCTTTAAAGCATTATTATAGTGTCCATTATGTTAGTGCTAGTAATACAGCCACAATACTACAGGAGTAGCCACTGGCAGCCTATGTATATACAATTACAGGTGCATTACAATACATTATTGTATGCCATCTTTAATATATATTTGAGGGATTGATGTAAACTAGTGAATCTACAATTCTTACTATAGTGGGATAAGTTAGCGGGTAAGGAGCAGGGCATTGGTCAAGTCTTGGGAAGAGTGAACAGAGCAGAAGGAACCTGGGAGGCTCCAGGAACAAGAAGGATTTCATTGTCTCATTAGAGAGGATTAGAAGAAGAGAAGTAGGGAGATCTTTAGGTACACTGTGTCATGGAGCCTGGGTCACTAATAGGTGCAGAGTGAAGAAAAGGATTTACTAGCCTCTGGTTAAAGACTCAATGTTTATTTGAGGAGGTTAGGAACTGGGGCTGGAGAAAAAGGAGAATTTGGCTAATAGAGAAAATCAGAGGCAACCATGGGATTTTACACAGGATTCTGAAATGGGAACACATTCCCACCTTCCCATCTGTCTCTGAGTGCAGAAGAGGAGTAGACATGTTTCATACCAAATGAATTTT